CCACCTACCTCGTACATCATACTCTAGCATCTCAAGCACCTATGATATCTGCCTACCCCTCTCCTTCATGTTTGACCACATTCTTTCACACAGCTTTCAAGGCCAGACTGGTATTCCTAACACAATTCTTCACACATATAGAAAAGCCAGCCAACTCATTCTGCCAAGCACATGCTTTACGCCACATCTCTTGGTGCCTTTCCTCATTTCTTTTTTTTTTTGAAGATTTATTTTTATTTATTGATGCAGTGTAGAACTGGGGTGCAGGCCAGAGGTGCAGGGGGTGAGAGGATTCACTAGAGACAGAGTGGGGAGCAGAACAGGCAGCTCTACTGAAATACACTGCTGAGGGTACAAGTGGGTGAGGCAAGAGAGGTCTGCTGTGCCATCTGGGTTAGCTCCCTGGCTGGGTTTCAAACTCAGGCCCTAACAGCAATAGCCCTGAGACTTAGCCCTGAGACCACCAGGGAGGCCCTGTCTTTCCTCATTCCACTTCATGCTTTCAAAATGCACCCCCACCTCTGACCAGCCCCTAGCTGCTCCTTTACAAGGAAAGGTGTCCCCAAGACAGATAATACATTTCTGCTATTTGAATGGTCAGTGTGTCTTTGAAGTATTTTCTGTTTTCAAAGCCAGGTGGGAATCTTTCCCTGTTGGGAGTCACTGTCCACCAACTGCCTGAGCCAGAATTACCAAGCGGTTACAGCACCAGCTTTAGCTACATGAACTCACTCCTCATTTTGATCCTTCAGTGTCATTATTGTATCCGGGTCTGGGTCTCCAAACAGCTCAATGTCTCAGTCCTATCTCATCAATTCTGAAGTCACCCAAACAAAAACAAAACATTTTCAAAGCAAGTCTATGTTATATTTCGGTTGGTTGCTGGGTAGCAAAACCTGATCTGCTCTGAATTAATGTGGTGAATTAATGTGAAGGTACTTCCAAAGTCTTATTTATTCTCCTTTCTGTGAATTTCCATATATTTTAATGTTGAAATGTGAATGTTTCATTGCGGGAAGCAGCATCTTACTCCACCAGTGTGTCATGTAACCAGCAGTACATGTATCACATTACATTTCTAAAATCTGAAAAAACTCTGAATTTGAATACGTCTCAACTCAAAGAGTTCCAAATCAAATACATTCTCAACTAAAAGATAAGGGATTGTGGGACTGTAGCCAGGCAACATCAATATCTTCCACATTTGACCAACTGAAAATCTAAGGCTCAGAGAGGATAAATCACTCACTGATGCCACATCCCTAAGTACTGGAGAGTAACAACTGGAACTTGGGCCTTCATTCCACAGGGGACATGAACCATGCACCAAGGCCACTGAATATGGATGCCTCTTAAAGGATGAAAACAGGAGAGAAAGTAGAGATTCTATTACCATAGCCTGCCAAATGCATTAATTTTTCAGAAATCAATAGAATCCTGGAAAACATTCAACTTCTTAGAGGTCATTTCTGAAACATAAAAGGTATTACACACTTAAAAAATTGCCGAAGTGAAAAAAGTTAAAATTCACATTAGCTTATACATTGTGGAATTCGCTGCAAATGTTGCATATTTTGTTTTAATTATATTTACCAGTGTGTTATAGTTACAAGTCCATTTCTCAAATGCAGTATGCTGTTCCTTCATTCACATAGTTCCTATATCCCCAAGTCTTTGCTTCCTATATTCCCATGTCTGTACTGGGGGGGAGGTGTAAAGTATGGAATAAGACAAAAATCAAACACCATCACCGGCCAACCCCCCCCCCACTTCTACCCTTCACCCCCGACCTTGAGGACTTCCAGTCTAGTGTCTTAAATTTAGTATCTTAACTGTTAATGCCATAAGGCTACCATGGAGTTCCATATTTCTATTAAAAAAACAGGTGAAACATTTTGATTCTCAGTGTATGTGTAACGTTAACTGTCCCTCCAGGTGGGAATACAGATTTCCTCTCTAGGAAGTAGCTTCTGTTGACTAAGACCTAAGACAAGCTCTGCTTTGCACCATACTTTCCAGCCCCACTAATCTCCAGTTCAAGCTCCTTCAAACGAATCACACACACACACACACACACACACGCGCACACACACAGAGTTAACCGATAAGTCTTCAATTCACCTCTTTAAATGTTTATCCAATGTTTCCAATGCAGCCATCACTCCAGTCAGGCCTGGTGATCTAACACCTGGAGCCATTTCAAACAAAGGGATATTTAAAACTCAAATATCCACCTCTCATTTCTTCACATTTCTTTAATTACTTTCCATTTTCCTTTTAATAAAATCCAAACTCCTTCACTGGATGTACAAGGTCTTTGGTAACCTGCCCCTTCTGACCTAATTTTCTGTCCCTTTGCTCTCTGCATGTACCTCCAGTGCTCATCCCTGCTCCTACCCACAGAACCTTCAGTCTGATACATTGAGTTATTTTTAGTTCCTCCAGTTTCTCCTTTCTGCATACTCTCACCTCTGCTTGGAGAACTCCTGGAGCTCCACTCCCACCCAGGCTAAGCTAAAGACTTCTCTATGCATAATGCAGAGTTCCTGCCCAGAGCACAGATTTTGTACCCAACTTGCTTAAGTTTGGAGCCCGACTTCAACAGTCAGTCACAAATCCATGGGCAAGTTCCTTAGCCTTTCTATGTCTTAGTTTCCTCCACTGTTAGGTGTCAATGCCATGGATTATCTGGATTTCCTGACCGACATACAGACTAGCACAGTCCTCCATGCATAAATGAGCATCCAGTAAATCTTAATCTTTCTTATGTCTGTCCCCAACACCATGCTATTGCCACTGGGTGACAGAGGAAAGGAATTCCCAACACTTATAATCTGGTAAAAGAGAAAACAACAGGGGCCTCCCTATTGGCGCAAGGGGTTAAGCACAGCACTGTGAAGCTATCTGCAGCCTCTGCAGCCCAAGTTCGATTCCTGGCCGGCCAGGGAGATTCCCACATAGCGCAGCAGCAAACCTCTCCTGTCTCGCCCCTTGCTCCCCTCAGCAGTGTATTTCGGTCAGACTGCCTGTTCTGCTCCCCACTCTGTCTCTGGTGAATCCTCTCACCCCCCCACCTCTGGCCTGCATCCCAGTTCTTACATGCATAAATAAATAAATCTTTTTTAAAAAGAGAGAGTAAACAGATTGTTTGTTTCAATACAAAAAAATGGTATCTTTTCCTAACAGTTACGAACAAAATGCTGGAAAGTAAAATGAAAATAAGCTCATTTCTCCAGCTGGGATGGAGGCTGAGCTTATGATCTGAGGCTCACAGAGGCACCAAGGAGAGAGGCATTTTTGACATCTAACAATTCATGTGCCCCAAACCCAGAGCATTTGGGGTAAGGCATAGAAGCTGATGGATGTGGGAGAGATCAGCAATGGGGTTTCATATTTTCCATTTTCTTTCTTTATAAGGAGGAGTGAAGTGAGTGTAGGAAATTGTGGGGGCACAATGAGAATGTATCTTGGCAGCTTTTAGTTGAATGAAAATTCATATATACCCACAATGACTATGAAACTGTGTGTGTGTGCATATATGCCTTGTGATACACATCTTTTTCTTGTAGTGATATTGCATTTACCTTTTTAAGGTATGGTATGAGTCTTTTCCTATTATCATGTAAATTAAGGTAATATCTCAAGATCTGGAATTCAAATATTATTATTGAATTTTTTTCTGATTCTATGACATCTAGCTACATTATATACAGTATGTATCACACCAAGATAATGCACATGGATAATCACATTATTAATTATAGTTTCTTAACTGAACAAAGTCTGAGAAATATGAAAAAATAAATTCTAAAAGTCTGAGGATTAATCAGTTATTTGAGATATATTTTCACTGTTTTACTGCATGTTTCTTGTCACTGACATTAATTTTTTCAATGGCTATGTTAATAGCTTTGCCTATTAATTACTAAATTTATCTTGCAGTCTAGTGTACTTTTTTGGTAGTACTTAAAATCTCCAGGTTAGTTTTTTACATATTAATTTTAATTTGCTGTTTGCTAGTCAGTGAATTTTAAATCTCAGTGATGAGAGGACTTTAAAATCCTAGGAATCAAGTACCTTTTTCTGGCATATAACTCCTCATGTGTCATGCAGTTTTCTCTTCCTTGTGTCACAATCAGGAATAAAACAACAAAATCTCTTCATCTAAGTATGATCTTATTTTTTCATCTGGTACATGGAAAATGAATGTTAGATGATAAATAGGTGTCATTCTCAATCTTGTAGGTGACAGAAGATGTCAAGTAGAAGTGCTGTTTGTTCTTTTAGTTGATAGACGAAGTACCACAGGTACAATATATTTATCAGGGGGTCACAGCGCAGAGAAATGGTCTGCATGCAAAATCAGCCCGGGCTGTACTTCAGGGATAAGGTACATGTGTCCTTGATGAAGGGGCTGTTATTTACCAGCAGACCATCAATTGGCCATTGTGCAGGGGACAGCTGAGTCACTGAGCATATTCCAATCCTAACTGCACGCACCAGCTGGTCCTCAACACTGAGGTTGTTATTATTTACATCACATTTGTTCAGTCCTCAGTTTGCCCATTCAAGATCAGCTACATGATAAATTCAGTGTCTGTGGTTATGTAATCTTTTGTTAGTACCCATTAAATATATTGTAAAGAAAGTGAAAGTTACTCTTGAATTTTCAAGTCCAGTATATGTTTAAGAACCTATATTCCCATGTCCACAAGTCTGGCAACTAAATTTATTTCTTCCAGCAAATGTGTAGTTATAATTCAAATCCAGCTCTTTTAAAATTTTAGATTTGTTTCATTCACAAAGCAAAAAAAAATTTTTTTCATGTCGCCGGGTGAGAATGAAATTTATATTCCTTCTATGATCATTACATTAAATGTTACAAACTGTTATCATCATCTTCACTTTACAGATTAACGTAACTAAGACTATGAAAAGTAAATAGTCTTAAGCCACAGATTACTGACATATTAACACAGATTACTAACCAGAGTACTAACCTCCTATAATTGAGCTTTTCCTCCTGGTTTGCACTGAAAATATGGAATTGTCCAAGGATCTAAAGAAATCAATAAAAAACAATTGACTAACTTGATGAGGTAAAACAGCTGTTATGCTAATCAGAATCTGAAAAAATAGACCGAATATGATAGCTTAATGCTGAAATTTAAATTAGTATCATTTTACATTATGCTCTATATGAATAACAATATATTGATAAATATAAAAGTATAAAGAGGTAAAGACAAGTATTTTTCAATGACTCAAGTATCCTAAAAAATGGTTTTAGGTTCAGTATTCAATTCCAACCAATATAATATTTAAATAGGGATAAATGATGAATTTGTGTAACCTTGTTTGAATATAAACTGATATATTATTCATTACCCTAAAATAGGGATGTTCTTGTCTACTTTGGCATTGTCCAATAGAAATACAAAATGAACTGCATGTATAATTTTTAATTTTCTAACAGTTCTTAGGTTTTAAAGTTAATTTTTAAAATATATTTTATTTAACCAACTCTAAGATGATACCATGCCAATGTGTGTCAATATAAAAATTATTCAGTATCTGGGGAGGAAATCTGTAAAGTTTTCAAAATCCAGTATATGGTTGACATTTTGTAATATATCTGAATTCAGATACTGAATTTTTATTGGGAATATTGATCTGTATTTAGACTTCATAGAATTTGCTATGTAAAACGTAGCTGCATATACCCAGATTTTCCCCAAATATATTCAGGAGTTTTCTAATAATCAAATTATCAGTTTCATAATTTAAATAGACTAAAATTAAACAAAATTGGAAATTCTGATCCTTGGTCCACTACCCACATTCCAAGTGCTCAACAGTTAACTAGTTAGTGACTGCCACATTGGACAACACAGCTGTCGGATTTTTCATCTATTATTTGGTACCTCATATTAGGCTAAACCATAAGGAAAGGGTCATCATCTCCATTTTCCGCTCCTCAAACTCCTGACAACCATTCTACTTTCTGCACCTATGAGTTTAACTAAAAAGAGTCCACATATAAGGGAGATCCATGCAGTATCTGCCTTTCTGTGTCTGGCTTTTATCATTTAGCATAATGTCCACCAGGTTCATCTGTGTTGTTGCAAATGGCAGGATTTTTTTTAAGGATTTATTTTATTTATTTATACATACAAGAGCTGGGGAGTAGGCCATAGGTGCAGGGGTGGGTGGGTAAGAGGATTCACCAGAAACAGAGTGGGGAGTAGAACAGGCAAATCCACTAAAATACACTGCTGAGGGGAGCAGTGGGCGAGGGAGGAGAGGTCTGCTGCACCGTGTGGGTAGCTTCCTGGCCAGGGATGGAACTCATGCTGCAATGGCTGCTTCATAGTGCTGAGACTTAACCCCTTGCACCACCAGGGAGGCCCTCAATTTTCTCTTTTTTAAAGACTGAATAATATTCCTGCCTGTGTGTGAGACAGTGAGCATGAATTTAACATAGTAAATGACTAGTTAACATTACAATATTTATATTTGAAATTTGTTAACAGGGCAGGTACAGTCTTAAAATGTACTCAATATACACACAATGGTAACTGTGAAATAATGAATGCCAACTAATTGGTCATAGTGATTAATTCACATTGTTTATGTATATAAAACCATCAAGTTGTACATCGAAGGACATATAATTTTTATTTGCCCACTATACCTCAATCGAGCTGAAGGGAAAAAGAGAGTTGAGTGAATACCAGTCAGAAAAGACGACTTTGAATACCTTATCTCTGTAAAAAGAGAATAAGAATTTCTGATTTCTGAAGCTATATTTAATGCCAGAAGCAAATATAAAGACCTCAGTATTTTATTATATGCCCCTAAGAGATATAAGACAAGCTACACAAGTACAATAGTACCACCAGCCTCATGAAGAAAACGGCAGCATTTGGGGGTCTAGGAAGTGGGAGTACTGGAGGACAGCAAAGGTGAGCACCCTTAGGTTAGAAACTCTGAGAAGGAAACTGGCCACAAGATAATACAAACTCTGATGAGAACACAGGAAACAGATGTGCTTGCCTCTCATTTCAGGCTTGAAGCTGGGCAACCTGACTCCACTGCACCCTTGGGGTGAGAAGGGTGTGCAGCAGAGGAGAGTGGAACAGAGGACGCTATCAGCCAGGGAGGGCAGACCACCCCCCTGGGGTAGGATGATATTGTGCTGGATATTCTGAGGGTCTCTGCAGCCCATGAGCTTGGATGGATCGAGGGAACACAGGTTCGCAGGCATTAGCAGAGGTTACCAACGATCTCCCATCTTGCCCCATGGGGGCAGCACTCAGCTGTGTGGGCCAATGGAGACTGAGGAAACACTCAGTGCGGGCAGCACTGTGACCTTTTGGGGGTTGGCCACTGAGGTCTCTCAGGCCTTAAACCAGACCCCTATGTCCTTTTGCCAGAAAGTTAGATATGAGAAGTAAATGTTTATTCAACATTCTCCCTCTTCCATTCTTTTCCTTTTCAGTGCAGGATGGATGTGCGTGATGAAATTCAGATTAGCTATGGAAAAGAGTAGTTACATGTTTTATGGCATCTAGACTACAGTATATAAAATTTATGACTTCACTATACCACCATTTATTGCATCTCCCATCACAGCTCTGAAAGGTCTGAATTATGTAAACACAAATCTTGACTATGGCCTTTCCTCCATCCCATTATCTGCCATCACAAGTCTGCTCCATACCCTGCACCCTAAAGATACCTTTACACTGCTGTTTGGCAAATTTATTAACATAGGTAAGTATGGATGCAGTAAGACCAGGACACTGCATAACTGGAGTATTAAGTGAATCCCCCAATTTTGTTGAATATCTTTGTGCCAAATCTATTTATAAATATTGAACAGATTTCGAGATCAGTGCCATCAAGTTCGACCCTACATGCTATCTGGTTATTAGCTATATGGAACTAAAGGGAAACTGGGAGAAAGAGAAGTAATGTGAGAGATGGCAGCATAAACATTCAGAATGGTCTTGACAGGATGGAATGTCATTTTGAAAACAATTACAAAATTTTCATTTTTTTAAACAATTCCAGGAATCTAAGATAAGGGGAACTTGCCAGGGAATCAGTCCTTGTGGGGAAGTCTTGGAGGATTTAGTAGATCATGTACAATAAGACAAATAAAGCTATATGGTTAAAATAAACCTATTGCTCTTTTAGATTATATTAAGCAAAATAGTCGAAACCTGAAAATCAGCTTAAAGACAAGTCAATCCCATCTTGATTATGACGTATCAACCCATGAGTAAGACTAAATAAAGTGTGGTCAGAGGACAGGTGCACCGTTGAGCTTAATTTGGGGATCTACATTTTGGGGGACCACAGTAGATCACAAGTACTTCCCCATCACAGTCCTGAAAGGTCTGAATTGTGTTTAGGCTGTGGAGGGGGATCTGGCCACTCAAGGGTTTCTATAGGGATGGGCAGAACTGAGGTCAATTAGTCCATAGGAAAGAGGAAGCAAAAGCTAAAGAGTACATGATAATCTCCTGCAAACTACCCATTAGTGGATGTCTTTAGGCGTAGAACTTAAAAGGGCGGGGTAGGGGTATGGCATGAACCAAGAATACAAGAGAAGGAACTAATTTCTCTACATTTGTGGCCATGACACCCCTAGAAAACTAATGATTCCACATGTCAGGCACTGCCCTCAACATCAGGGCCCTGGTTCTGTATGGTCTCTAGCCTGGCCCTGACTTAACCCCTGCAGTTACTGAGGAGCCAGTAGGGGCCAAGCTCTGTGCTATGTCCAGAACATGCTTTATTATGCCATTTAATCCTTTTAGTGCTCTGTATTTCATACATCAGGAGACCAAAGCTTAGGTAGGATGAATGACTTGTCTAATTGAAGGGACAGAGATAGGACTCAACAGGTAGGATCTTACTCACTCCAAAGTAGATGTGATCTCTGTGCCACAGTTATCTCCTCCTATGGATAATTTTGCGAGCACCCAGTGCATTCATTCACTCATATATTAAGCAGATACTGACTTATTGTTATTGCAGTAGGGTTTTTTTTTTTTTTGACATCATGCCTAATTATCACAAACTTGATAATAACTCAATTTCACTGTCTTGAGTTCTATAGGTCAGAATTCCAACATGCATCTCCCTAGCCTGATAGGAAGTATCCAGCCCAGCTTGTAAAAAAGAAAAATACATATGCAAGAGCATTTCAGAGAGTTATATGTACTTTCAGAAAATAGAAAGTTCAAAATTCACTTTCCCCCAAGTATGGCATTCTTACATTGATTCATTCAATCACTGAATAATTTTTGAATGCCTACTATGTAGAAGGTGTTCAATGCATGCCAAGTAGAACACTGACTGAATGGACAGTCCATTCTAACAGAGTATTCCAGGGAAAGGAACAGATAAAAACATATACATAGAAATAGAGAATAGGGTTTTAGGGCCTCCCCGGTGGCGCAGCGGTTAAGCGCTGGGTTGCGAAGCTGCCCGCGGCCTCTGCGGCACCGGTTCGATCCCCGGCTGCTCCCTGGCCACCGGAGGAGGGTCCCACATGGCGCGCAGACCTCTCCTGCCGCCCGCTGCTCCCCTCAGCAGTGTACTTCGGTCCTTCTGCCTGCTCTGCTCCCCGCTCTGGCTCTGGTGAATTCTCTCACCCTCCCGCGCTTCTGACTCTACCCAGTGCATGTATAAACAAAAAACAAACAAACAAACAAAATAAATAATAAATAAAACATGCCTCTATAAAAAAAAAAAAAAGATTAGAGAATAGGGTTTTAGGTAGTGGAAATGCCACAAAGAAAATACTTATAATCTCTTCCTCTGTGCCTTTGCTTTTTTAAACCATTCTTTCTTTCATTCTTTTACTCAATGTGTTGCTGGCAAGAGCTAACTAAGCACAAGGTTTCCAGTGCAGAACACAGACTTGGCTTCTACATCCTCATTTTGACAGAAACAACCAAACCTAATAAAAACCATGCATTGTGACAGATATCCTAAGAAAGGACAAGCTAGGACCTCCCTGGTGGCCTAGGGAGGTTAAGTCTCAGCGCTTTTACCACTGTGGCTTGAGTTTGATCCCCAGCCAGGGAGCTAACCCACATATGGCACAGCAGACCTCTCCTGTCTCTCGTGTCTGCTGCTCCCCTCAGCAGTGTATTTTAGTAGAGCTGCCTGTTCTGCTCCCCACACTGTCTGGTGAATCCTCTCACCCCTGTACCTCTGGCCTACATCTCAGGTCTTCTACACACACACAAAAAAAAAAAAAGGATAAGCAACTTTTGTACTCATCTTTCTGAGTATTACGTTAGATGTGTCCTCTTTGAAGAAAGTTTCAAGTATGTATACTAAACGCTTAACAGATACAAATATTTGCATGTTTTTATTTATTTTTGTTCTTATAATAGTATTGTTATAAAACTCTACATTCTTTCTAAATTTACCCAACAGATGAATGTTTATTATAACAAGTGAGTCAGTTCACATTACTGAGTAATATAAGCATTGTGATTACATTTTAGTAAAAGGAAACAAGCAAAATCCCTTTGTGTGTGTGTCAGTGATTATATAGATGTTTGTACTCACAAGGAGAAAAAATGTAGAACATATACCAGCCTGTTAATGAGGAGCATGTGATCAGCATCGGTGTTCTGTGTCTCTGTGTTACTAAATATTCCTGGAATGGATGAATGAGGTCTGCTAATAACGCCTAAATGTGTTGGCCCAGAAGATAGTTAGCATCCACTGACCCCTGAGGAATGAGTGGATACCATCCAGCTCAAATCATACCTCCTTCTGTTTGCTTTATTTTAGCTACATTTTGACATCTGGTTAACCTACATGCTTCCCTAAGTGAATTAAAAACCAAGAGAGCATACATAATCAATTTTTGTCCTGTACCCAAACTTGCTTAATAGATTTTTATGCCATAATTTCCTATTTTTCAAATTAAGACTAATAGACTTTCTGTACAGATAACACAATTAAACTGGTTAAAAGGCACTTCCATTCATAAAGTACTAAACAGTTGCCAGATATTAAGTGGAAACTAATTTTTCGTTTGTGATAGCCATGTCAACTGATTATGCCCCAGAAAAAAATCTGTGTAATATAAAACACTGTAAAGATCCACCTCAAAGTTGAATATTTTTGAACAAAGACACCTTCCTCTATAACCTTTAAAGATTTATTTTTATTTAACTGTGGTGTAGGCCAGAGGTACAGGCAGTGAGAAGATTCACCAAAGAGTGGGGAGCAGAGCAGGCAGATCTACTGAAATTCACAGCTGAGGGGAGCAGCAGGCAAGACAAGAGAGGTCTGCTGCGCCATATGTGGATTAGCTCCCTGGCCAGGGATCAAACTCATGCTGCAGTGGCTGGTGATAGCTTGACAGCTCTGTGCCACCAGGGAGGCCATTCCCTTATAACCTTTAAACTTCAGTCTTCCATTCTGCTTCTAGCCTTTTAAGCAGGAATCTGATGGAGGAAGCAACAAGTCCCAGGCCACACCTAAAGTGGAAGTTTGTGCACAGTTTGCACAGTGACTAGACTGTCTTACATTTCCTTATAAAACATGCTTGCATCATTAGAGCAACTTAGGGATGATTGTAACATTGAAGAGAAACTGTAGAGGGTTGTATCCAGGCTTAGAGATTATTTTAGGCCTACATAACTTGGACAAGGAAGGACTTGGGCTGCATCTGAGATGGCTTTTGGAGATGAAAAGGAAGGCAAAATTTAAAAAAAAAAAAAAGAAAGAAAGAAAGATCCTGTAGATTTTCACATGGACCACGCTGCCAACTTCTTCCTAACAGCCTAGCAGAAATGTAACTTCACCCCTATGATACTGCAGTGGCCTTCTTTCTCTAATCTTTAATCTCAGCTCTCTTGCATTCAGTGATACTTATGTGAATTGGGCATTTCCTCCAGGCAAGAAATCAATGAAGAAAGAAAACAGGAAGGTTGAGAGGTACCTGTTTTCCCCTAACTTCCCATTTTGCTCTCCCTATTACATAAAAATTGGCCATTGTCCTCTCTCAACAAGGTCACCTCGAGAGTCAAGGTGAATATTCTTCATTGTAAGCCTTAGCTTGAGTCAGATTTTTCACCTACAAAGTGAAGTAATCATGTTACCTGACTTATACGGTCATTTTTAAGGACTTAATATGATATTTAATATAAAAATGCTTAAAGCATGGTCTTGAGCAGGGATCATTCATTTAAATGTTAACTTTCATAATAGCATTAATATTATTCAGTTATCATCCCTTATTTATTTTATCTTAATAAGGATGGTTCTGACAGTTGTGAAGAAATGCAAAGGTAAGAAATCATTAATCTGGCCTCCCTGGCAGCACAAGGAGTTAAGCACAGCACTGCAAAGCTCTTCCCAGCCTGAACAGCATGAGTTCGATCCCCGGCCGGCCAGCCGGGCAGGGGACCTCTCCTGCAACAGACTTCTCCCCTAGCCCGCTGCTCCCCTCAGCAGTGTATTTCAGTCAGTCTGCCTGTTCTGTTCCCCACTCTGTCTCTGGTGAATATTCTCACACCCTGCATCTCTGGCCTGTACCCCAGTTTTGTATGCATAAATAAATCTTTCAAGAAAAAAAATCATTAATCTGTCCTGAAGCTGTGTTAAAGGAAATCTCTCCAGCAACCCAAATTTCACTCTCTATTCATATGCACTAATCACATAAGGAACTGCTCTATTCTGCATCACTGGAGACCTGAAATGGTGTGATATGCTTGCCTTGTTGATTTGTGCAGGCAGAGCTCTTAACACATTCTCTCAGAATGGCAAGAACATCATTCCCTCTCTCTCATCTTTCTCTTTCCTTCTCATATATACTTATACTTCATAAATGAAATTAATCATCTCTTCTGAGTACAAGCTCAGAATACGTTGCTTTAGCTCCTAAGGCCACAGGTCTGAGATGGAGACAATTCAACTTTTCTTTTTCCCTACAGTATTTAAACCTGTGATGGACTGCAAAGGGCTTGAACTTAGCTAAGTAGATCTTTGTGCCCCAAGGGTTATTTAAATATTCATACAAATCCTTCTGACAACTTAGGGCTACAAACCTTGCCCTGGATAGGGAGGGTGGTGCGGGGAGCATATAATGACTGAGTCATAGCATCCTAAAATGGTTGCCATGAACTAAAAACCCCCCAAAAAAAGAAACTTGGTTTCATCTCTTAGGTATAACACCAGTATCAAGTACTGACATTAATACCATAAAAACTGAGTGTACTCACCAAGCCATCTCTTTCATATTTATTCTACTAATGATTAGAAATTAAAAAAAAAAGTAAAATAGACAGGTTTCCCCAACAGATATGCTCCTATACCAGCACATGGCTTAAATGATAAGCAACTGGGCTATAGAATAAATCAGATTTGATTTATTGAACATAGTGACCCACAACACGGGGACACGGTTCATTTAATCCATTAACACTGCATGCTCTTCACTGGCACGTGTGGCGATGCCAGGAATGTGGGTATCCAATTCTTGTTCTGTTCTGGTTTTAGGTGACACATTTTTCCCCATTATAATCACATTTTTTATGTTCTATTTCTGGCTGATAAAGTTTAACAGCTGGAAAGCAAACCTTGGGATTCCACTGAACCATTGAATCTTACTTCTCCAAATATCTGTTGTCAAAACCTACTGTGTTTTATTTTTTATAATACTGTTCACAAGTTCTGATTTTTTTTTTTAATAGAGGCATGTTTATTTATTTGTTTGTTTGTTTGTTTATACATGCACTGGGTACAGTCAGAAGCGCAGGACGGTGAGAGAATTCACCAGAGCCAGAGTGGGGAGCAGAGCAGGCAGAAGGACCGAAGTACACTGCTGAGGGGAGCAGCGGGCGGCAGGAGAGGTCTGCGCGCCATGTGGGACCCTCTTCCGGTGGCCGGGGAGCAGCCAGGGATCGAACCAGCGCTGCGGGCAGCTTCGCAACCCAGCACCCAACCGCTGCGCCACCGGGGAGGCCCACAAGTTCTGATTTTATCAAGTCTGTATCCTCTCAATAGAGCATTCAAAAACACCAACACTACACACACTCATCTTCCCTCTTCTAATACTATTGATCTAAAATGCAAATTCAATTCAAACAATAGGTACATTAAATGTTAAAAGACACAAGTATATGCTCTGTTTCTAGATGATTCTAGATGCTCTCTATTCTAGATGTGTTTCTAGTGATTTATATTACATAAGAAACGGCCAGTAGTAAATATCAGGTAAGTAAAATTAAATCAGAACTTCTCAAATTCTACTTTTAAGAAGCTTCATTCAAAACATTTATTATTTATTTGAGCCACACAGGCATAGATGTGTCTATAAATGTGTGTGTGTACATCCACATAGATATGTATTCAGGAAATGCTACCATGAGAAGTCATGCTTTTCATTTCAAATTTCAGATGTACATTACCAATACAATCAAAGCCAAAGGAACAAGACTTGCTAAGCCGGTCCTATGCTTGGGCCTAATGTGTCTGGCCTTTCTTACTGGACTCAACAGAGTAGCAGAGTATCGAAATCACTGGTCAGACGTGATAGCAGGCTTTCTGGTTGGGATATCTATAGCAGTATTTCTGGTAAGTACAAAATTTTTCTGGCTATAATGGGTTTTTAATTAACTTGTATAGCCACCCTTAAGAAAATACAAGTGTGAATCATTGGGCTTATTTGATGTGGTATATAAATGATAATCCATGTTTTTATGTCATTCATTTCTTCTTCCTCCATCATTCGTTCTGCCTAAAGTCAGGTTAGAGAATAAAAACATGTAAATTCTACACTTAAAGAGGAACAAAATATTTTCAAATAAAGTAAACAGGGCTAAAAACACAGAGTCCTCCTCGAATAGGTTTTAAGACAGTTGTTTAAACCCTTGAACAATTTTTAGCACATCCTAGAGTATCTGGACCATGTGCGAGCAAGCACTTGCGTACCTCAGCAAGAACTCTCCGTGAACCGCCATCTTATAGTGCACACTACAGGAAAACCTCATTTGTGAGATGAACCAGTTCACTTCAGTAGCTTAAAATTCATGAATAATTTCCAAGACAATACGACTGCAAATCGGATTTTTCCGAGTAGTGAAAAGCTTAAGCAGTGACTTCTAATGGGAGTAACCAGGCTTCACCTCATCACAGAATCTCCCTGGAATATTTCTGTAGGCTTTGGTTATTGGAAAATATATTTCCATCTAACTTTAGAAGTAATCAGTACAATATGAATATATAACATTTCACCCAAATGAAAAAATGTGGACTATAAATCAAAACATATTTTTTGTGTAACACATCATATGTGAGGCACTATTTCCCTCTTGATTACATTTAAATTGCCTCTCACAATTAAATTTCCTTCCTCAACCCCTTCTCACTAGTTAATAGCCAGTAAACAAAAACATACACGAATCTTCCCACTACCAAGAATGTGAGCCATTAAGGTGCCTGGCCTTAGACTTCCCTGTGGTCAAGCAGGCCTCCTCCAACTCTCTGCCCAGTGTTGCTGCTCTTCTGGCATCACATTCTGATTCTCCAGGTCACCAGGAGACTGAGACCTACCCTCTCACTCTCTCCAGAGATACCTTGCACCTTCGGGAAAGCTAGGGCTCAAATCTGAACCAAAACCATTCCTTTGTTTTACTCACTGTGGTTGAAATCGGTTAAGACATTTGAAAAAGCAATAGAACAAATGAAAAAAAAAAAAAACTTAAATTCTAAGAAAATAATCACAGGCAAGGGACGGAGCATACCAAAAGTCAGAATTTAAATAACTACTATCAATGTAACTGCAATTCAGCTCCACGAGTCCAGAACATCCTCCCAGTGACTGCTGCCAACTTCCCTTTACTTCCAGTGAACATCTGGATACACTGCAAAGCCCTAACTAGAACCCTACATCGTCCCAGTCACTTCCCCACTGAGAACCATGTGGTGCATGCTGTTGGACTGTGACCCTCCAACTACCCGCCTAGTGCTCATGTTCAGAACATGTATAATGGCCTCCAATTAAATCAGCACACACCCAGGAAAATGCTCCAGTTGAAAAGCCATGGGAAATAATGCTTTAACTATTAACAATGGAACCAGCATTTACGCATTCACTTACAGCTGTCTCTGAGTGTGACTGCCTACAGGTGCCAGCGCTGTGCAGGATGCAAGGAGGCTCAAGTACCGTCTGGTTTGGGAGGGAGTCAGAAAATAATTGCCGGGCTATTCCCCCCCACATTCCCACCCTTCTTTTCCTTCGAAAGTAAACCTTTACTGTGGCCCTCCCATAATGCAGGCACTGTGCTTGGTGCTGGGAAAAAATACATGAAAAAGACACAGGCTACATAAAGAGATTGCATTCTGGTAGGATGAGACAGACAAAGAGTTTGTATTACAGAGGGTTAAATGTAATGACAGAGGTTGGGATTAGGGAAAAGTTGGGAGGGTGCTGATATATAAATGTGAGAAGTTTGCAAAGCAGGTATATCTAGGCTGGTGAAAAGGAATGAGACACAAATTGCAAAGTGCACAGAGACAACGAGATGCTTCCCGCAATAAGCATGTACATGAACATGCTTACCTAGTACATTCCAGGCCAAGGGTGTCCTGGAGTGGTGCCTGTCATCCAGCTTAAGTGACGAGATAGGAGCATGGAAAGGTACACCAGGCTGAATGTCCTTTTGTGTTAGATTCATCTGGGTTGTTTAAAATATAGCTGTTTTGAGAGCCACTGTGTTGAAATGAGTGGAAACAGGAACAGCCAGCTTGAATCCCAGCTCCTTTATGTACTCAGTTTGTGCCAGTGAGCACCTTCTCTCACCTTTTGGATCCTCAGCTTCCTCCTCTCTAAATGAAGCTAATAACAACCTCCTTAAAGGATTATTATAGGATTTATTAAGGTCAAAAGAAACGGTGGTAAGCTTAGTGAATGGCCACATGAATGACTGAAATAAGCCCCATAAATGAGTTTGTTTTCTCTGTCCCTTTTATTCTATGATAAAATCTGTGCTTTGAAAATATATTGGATGCAAAATGAAACTCCAGGTGAGGATAGAGGAGACAGGTTACGGGGAACCAGGGAAATAAGATGGCAGAAACTGGAACTCAGAGGACACCAGGAGAGGGAAGATGTCCAGGGAGGACATGTCCAGGGATGTTTAGGAGGGGAATGGTTTGGAGAAGATGGGGAAAAAGGGGGGGAAACGAACTATGATGATTCCTGGATCCCACATTTGCACAACTAAGGAGACTATTTCAAGCAGTGACGACAGTTCTGGCTTGCTTGCAACATTCTGGGATGTATCCAGTTTTCTTGCAGTGTGTGCAGAATCTAAAGTGATTCCAACAAAATGAGCATAACCATCTCCAAGCCTGTGTTTCTGTTAAAGGATGACTGTGTCATCCCCCAGTCACCCAGACCCAAAGTCTAGCATTTGCCTTTGACTCATTCTCATTCATCCTCCACACCTGGTGATTCATCTAGTCCCAGTTCATTTCTACTACAGAACTATTTCCTCTTTTCCTTATTTCTCCTGCATATTGACCATATCCTGTCAATTTTAAAGATCCATGTTTGTTCTCTATGTTGATCTATTCGTTCCGAGTTGATTCCTCACTTGAGGCTTTCCTCTAAACACCCTGTAACTGTATTCCTTTTCTGTACACAGTACAATGTAATTCATTGCTAGTAAAAAAGCAAAAGCATAAAAACAAATCCAGACACTTCACTGCACTTCTGGGATCGCTAGTAATCTGGCTGTACTCTTCCCAGTCAAGATTACTTTTTTCCTTTTTACAGTGTAATCTTATACTTCAAACGTGGTCAGTTTTAGAAGTTTCTCAGGCAGACTCTGTCCAGCCTGTACGTTTAGCTCGGTAGGAATGCCCTTTCTCTATTTCTCTAACCAAATAGGGCTCCAGGCATCCTGCCTTTCTACTTGCTAATGTGTGAACTTGAACTTAGCCCCTCATCATTCCTAATGAAGAATCATATTTAAAATGGCTGCTCCTCCTTGAGGACGCTTTTCCCAATCCCTAGTTCACTATTCTCCACAGCGTGATTCAATTTTTAATATATCATGTACATTGCTTTTGGTCTCAGGTTTTGCTATCAAGTCCACTGGAATGTAAGCTCCTCATGGAGAAGCTTCTGTTTTCTTCACTGAGTATTCCAGTATTCAGTAGAGGGTCTGGCACAATGGAGATTCTCAGGAAATATTTGATCTATGAATGAAGGAGGGAATATTTTACTTACTTCCACAGCCCTCTTGTAACTACTCAAGGGAGTGCAAGAGTAATACACATATAACAGTTTGCAAGGAAATGCTTTTTCTGAGATGAAATATCATGTTATTATTTTGCAGATTGATAAATTTTATTTAAAAACTTGAGAAGAACCAATATTTAATTAGCTTTGGAAAAAATTCAGTGATAAGCCCTATTGAAGAAGCTTTCCAATGGAGGATTTGTGAAAATATACAATACAAATTAATAATTACATATTTTTTTTAAGCTTTATTTATTTGTTTGTTTGTTTGTTTTGTTTATACAAGCACTGGGTATAGTCAGAAGTGCGGGAGGGTGAGAGAATTCACCAGAGCCAGAGCGGGGAGCAGAGCAGGCAGAAGGACCGAAGCACACTGCTGAGGGGAGCAGCGGGCGGCAGGAGAGGTCTGCGCGCCATGTGGGACCCTCCTCCAGTGGCCAAGGAGCAGCCGGGGATCGAGCCGGCGCCTCAGAGGCCGCGGGCAGCTTCGCAACCCAGCGCTCAACCGCTGCGCCACCGGGGAGGCCCGAATAATTACATATTAAACATTTTTTAAATGTTAGGTTATAACTGCCAGTAAGTTCTGACTTGTATTTGATAAAATATAGAGCTCAGATAAAGAACTCAAGAATAGCTTACCCACTAATTAATATAAGTAAATAATAGCAAGTACTTTTCCTTCATTATTTACTTCACTGCTTGTTCAAGTATAGTCCATCTGCTTCACAAGTGTTTGGAATACATTTTAAAATACCAGCTTCTAGGCACCATCTTTCATCTGTAAAATCAGAATGTTTAGGGGAGGGCTTAAGAATATTAACCTTTAACAGTATTAGAACTTCATTTGTGTGCACCACAAAGTATGAGAACCTTAGTTTTAGTTCAAATTCTGTCACCTATAGGAAACAATGAACTGAAACAAGGGTCTATTCCCTTTATATGAAGGATCATTTATAGTAGTAGTGGCCCCAGTAAGCTATTGTTGACATGCCAAGTATATATGGGATACAATAATAGATAATAAGCAGGTTAATTAAAGGGTTGCTACTAAATTAGAGTGCACCGGTTGTAGAAAGTTTATTATGAATATAGTGCTCTTGAAGCAATGGGAAATAATTAGCATTTGAACAAAGTTGTAGGTTAGCCACATAAGGGAAAGGTTAGCTTGCTGTGAATTTTTATAAGGTTATGATGTTATTTTTGGATGATCTGAACACTGACTATAACAAAATCTAATGAAAATTTTATAATAAAGTAGTCATTATTAACTGAGTTATATATTAACATTAAAGTAACTATTAAATTTATATGGGGCCTCCCTGGTGGCACAAGGGGTTAAGACGGACACTATGAAGCTATCCACAGCCACTGCAGCAGAAGTTCGATCCCCAGCTAGGAAGGTGACCCACATGGTGCCGCAGACCTCTCCTGTCTCGCCCTTTGCTCCCCTCAGCAGTGTATTTCAGTCAGTCTGCCTGTTCTGTTCCCCACTTTCTCTGTCTCTCAGCCCCCACACCTCGGGCCTGTACCCCAGTTCTTGTATGCATAAATATTCTTTTAAAAATAAAAAAATAAAATTTATACAAGATAAATATGGATATATGTATATACATGCCATGTTTTAATAATGTTAATACTCTGTTAATAATAAGTTTTAAGCTGTTCAAAATTATCATAGTTGTAGGGAACATTGCTTTGCTTTAACTAATTTTTCTTTTCTGAAATTTTAGGTAGTGTGTGTGGTAAATAATTTCAAAGGAAGACAACCAGAAAATGAGCATATACACATGGATAATCTGGCACAGATGCCAATGATCAGCATTCCTCGAGTAGAAAGTCCTTTGGAAAAGGTAACATCTGTACAGGTGATTCATAATTTAAATTCTAAAATGTGATTGTTATCTAGAGCAAATGAGTAACTAGTCCTGAGAGTCTCTGCACAGTCATTTTTGATTTACTGAAACAAGCTCAAAGTCTAATGTAATATTTAGTAGGAATTTAGTTACTGAACACATCATCTTAGAAAAATGCCTGTCACATTTATAATATTTCTGACTCTCTTATGCTAAAAGCTGAGTGCCTGTACATGGGATATATTGTGTACTTTGCCATAGCTTCTAAGATAAGGAATATTGTGCAATGATCTCAAAACACAAGCAAAATAAGAAGTTTTACTATCTTATTTTTTTCATGAAATTCATTCCATTTCTCCCATGCTCCATTTATATAAGAAGCTACTCAGTATTACGTCTGACACAGAACCAGGATTCGGTAAGTATTTGTTGAGTCACAATGCAGAAAGGTATAGCAGCAGGAAAACACTGATTGTGTGCTCCTACTCAGAGAAGCACTGAAAGTCAGCTGGGGCTGAATGGAGCCAGACCAGGTAGCATTCCAGTAGTAGATTAAGCCCTCACTGGACGTGATACTAAACACAGATGCCAGGAATTTAACAAAAAAAAAAAAAGAGATTTCTATGAATTAGCTAGGGTAGTATTTCTTAAATGGCAGTGCACTCGTGTATTTGTAAGTAGCTGATTGTTCATAACGTTACTAATGGCTTCTCCTTAGCCCTGTTTGCATCTATATTTTGATCACTATATCTTAAAGAGGTCAATGACATGCTAATCAAGTGTTTAGATGGTGTAAATCTGTGATCATATATTGGATAAAAGAATAAAAGTTTTGGAGAAATTACAATAAGATACAATTGATAACTATACATGTAAGAAACGTTTTGGAGTAGAAACATTTCCTGTTGGGCTAAGGTACATCTAAGTTAACTGCATGAATCACTGACTTAAGGTCTCAAAGGTATTGTAGGCTATCACTCAGCATGTGTCAACAGCAAGATATATCTACCGAAGTGTTAACATGATCTTACCTGAAATTCCAGTTAGGGAAATAAGATTCTGAATAAGGGGATTGATGGTTTGCTTTGCTCAGCCCTGCTCAGACCAACTTGGAATGTTGTGCACTGCCCTTGGAGATGGTTTTAATGTGAACTTTGATAAAATAATTGGCACCCAATAAATATTTGTTAAATGAGTGGATGACTATGCCCAGGGTTAGTGAATGAACTCAAATCATGGATTATGAAGGACTGTGGTTGGAGAAAAAGCAAAATCAGGCAAAGTAGTAATGACTTTCTATGAATATGTTAATGATTATTGTATTACAGAAAGATACAATTTGCTCTGCAGGGCATCAAAGATCACATTTAGGATAAAAAGATAATTTGTAGAAAGAAGAAAAACTTCCTGAGAACAGAATAGCTGGCTAGGAGCAATGAAATTTCACTTTACTATAGGTATTCAAAATAGTTATATAATCACTTTTCCATGATTCAGTGGAGGGAATTTAAGCATTTCAGGTTAAGATACTAGATGATGATAATGATGATGATGATGACAGCTAACATTTAATGACGAGTCAGCATGTGTCAAGAACTATGCTGTTTATGGCAAGTCCATAAAACGACTGTTATGCTCTATAAGTAATGCAATTTATTTCATTAATGTTTGCATCATCATTACTGCATCAATAATTTCATTCCATCTAACAATTTCTCAAAGATGGGTATCACTATATGGCAAAGACTACTAAACCCTTCCTCATCTTCACTTCTAATAATTGAATTCCCTAAACTAATTTTAGCTTACATCCATAACTGCCCAGCTATTGTTGATACTTACCAACTTCTGTTGCAGTGTGAGATGTGACTATGAACTAAAAATAGAACAATGGAACATAAGCAATAGTAAGTAAAGTCTCTGATTCATCTTTTGAAGGTTCTTGTGCTGGACAGTATCTTCCCCTTTGCCAAACGAAAAGGATAATGACTGGAGTAAACTTTAGCTTTCTAAGGTCCACCTAGAAAGTCTGGTTCCTGGTTAGCTCACAAGCCCATCAACATTCACACGCTATATGGTTCCAAGAAATAAACTTTCCGCCCCTCCAATTCACTAGATTGTAATCTCTTTTCTCAGAGGCTTAGCCGATGCCCTATTACAATAAAATTTCCCATTTTTCAGTTTGAAAGCTAAACTTCCAAGAGGATAAGCAATTTTCAAAAGCCTACATCATTAATAAACAGAACAGAGAAATTATAATATTTCAAAATACCTGCGATAAAAAATGGTTTGCATATGAATCATACAAAATTATACCTTAACTTAAATATAGGAAGTAATAGAATTTAGGAAGAGATTGTCATCGTATTTTGACGAGAATGGTCAAGGTAACCACCAGTCTTTATGTAACTGAATTTGAATAATAACCAGTCTTCTGCTTTTTAACCTATTTATCTCCCTAAGCATTCTTTAGTAGCTTACTAGATTGCCAAGTATTCTTATATATCGTTACATCATACTATAAAATGATTGTTTTTTAAATTTGTTGTTGACTTCATTTAAAATAATTGATGGAGAAAGCAAAAACGTTTTATTAGAATCTATAAATTGCAATATACAAGTGTTATTAACTTTTGTTATCTTTTTTTGTTTGTGACAAATGCATGTGCTTTGTTTTCTCTCTGGTAGTTGGGGAATAAAGATGAATTGAATCTGTTTTGATTCTCCCCTTTACCCAGCAGAGTGCATTGGCACCACACCCTGAACCCCGACTTTCCTCTCCGCTCTTTTCATTCCTGTTTCCAGGCAGAATGCTGTTTGCACAGAGTGTGGTCTGCTCCCAACATTCACACAGACCACAGGAAGATCATGGCTCAAGGTGCTGGGAATACATCTCGGGCTTCCCTTTGGAATTCTGCTGCTGAGAGGACATGTATTTGTGCTCATCAGCCAGCAAGGGAGGAAAGACATCATTTAAGGGAAACCCACAATAGATTTTTCTTTTTATGATAAGAAGTATTTGGAATAAACATGTTGCTTTTCATCATAAAACACAACGGGAAACAAGAGATTGCAAAATTTTTCCCAGTATGATCCTAATAATTGATAGTTGGAAAGTGACTTTAAATCTTTAAAGCCCTCTGAGGGAAGGGATGTGGTACTAAAACTTGGTCTGCAGTCATGCCAATAGGTTAGCACTGTTAAGCCAAGCTATCATTATCCGGTCGTCCGTTTTGTGAGGAGAATGCAAAGGGTTTCTTTTAGACGTTATGTACTTACATAACCTCTTATGTTCATAGTACGTATTTGATAAACTGTAAGCTACCGAGTAATTATAGCATACAAGCATTCTTTATTTTTATGCTAGCAATTTGTCCCTTAATTATAGGGAGTCTGTCATATCCCTAATTACCATACTTAATGAGGAAAAGTCATGATTTTTCTCAAAGCTAAGTAAATCTGAACAGTCATTACATTTGGGTTTTTTTTTTTTTTTAAAGAATTAATCATCTGTGAAAATGAGCCCATCATATCCTAATGTCCACTAAATATTTAAGTTACCAATTACTCCATTGCAGCTCTTTGTAATATCAAATCATGCACAGTCTAAATGTCTGTCAGTAGTGACTTATTAAATCAGTGGCGGTCCAGGCCTACAATGAGATCCAGTACATTACAGTGTGGTGTTTCTGCTCATAGTTCTGGAGGGACACTGGCTAGGATTTGCTGCTCATAGTTCTGGAGGTATACCTTTGGCATCTTACCTAAAATAATGCTCTGTGACCCAGTGTTCTCATTCATAGCACGATCGTTAGGAGAGTTCAATAAGCTAATAGTATAGCACTCAGAACAGTATCTAGCACACATGAAGTCCTTAATCACTGCCAACTCTAATTATTTCTACTATTTAAAGGTTAAAATGGATGAGGTAAATCAAGATGTGGAAATTTTTTCACTACGTACTGTCAAGTTTTTTTTTTAAAGTTGATAATATTATAAATAGGCAGGCAGGCAAAGATATAGTATGTATATAATGAAGCCAGTTATGCAAGATACTGTGTAAATAGTTCTCAATACCAAGATATAAAAAAAACTGTGTAAATGAGAAAAAAAACAAACAGATACCAGCCTGAGAATAATGTTTAAACCTAAGGAGGAAACTGAAATAATGAAGTGGATTTCATTTTCATTCTCCCTCCATCTCTTTTTTCCCTTTTCTTTCTATAATACTATAGGATATTATTATTATTATTATTATTATACTCTATTATATAATAAAGTAAAATTATATTTTTCAGTCATTGTTTTCTTGTATCGTTCTCAAAGGGGGGGTCCTGGTTATGAGTCCTCATACTGATATGTTCAGATTACCAAAGTCCATTAAATTGATAAATGTATGTATGTAGGTAGGTAATGTGTATAATGAAGCCAATTACACAAAACTGAAAAGGTTTCCCCCCCCAACCCCAGAATAATTTAAATCCCTGTGACTCACACAATCCTTTTGAAAGTGTTGGTCTATTTTTCTCTTTCAAATTGTGCATGGAGACCTGGGTTGTAGCTCCTAATCCTCATGTCTATGGCCAGAGTCCAGTCTCCCTTGGCACACCTGCAGCCATTCCCATTCAGGTCCTACCTGTGCAGGAACCCTGCACTCAAGTTGTGCGCATACATCTCTCATTTATGGATCCACAAAGTTCCCACCCACCCAAGGCCCCCAGAGAGCCAACTTTGTTTATAAAGCATCCTGCACAATAAACAAAAGCTTCAATACTGCTGGCTGCCCCATGTCTCCAAACAGGAAGACACTATTAGTTACTCTTAGAAGATCAAGAAAGGAAAGTCTCATCCTCCTAGGAAGTGCTGATGGAAACATTTATACCATTTAGTCTCCTTTATTTGCAAGAGGAAAGTGGGAATTAATATTTTAGTAGCTATGCCTCTGAGTGAAAACTACACAGAATAAATTTTCAAGTATATAGTATTAATGATCCAGTTTGAAGGAAGTCATCAAAGGACAATTAAAATTTTTCTTTGCCAATAAAGAAATTCAAGATTGCAAGTGGCTAAAATCTTATAGAATCTCACTAGAACCCCAAACTTTCAAAAAGTGAGAATGAGAGACAGGATCACCCTCTAAAAGAATAAGAAACCCTGTCCATTTCGGGTATCAGATTGTTGGACCAACATCATTTTGAGAATATTTAGCAAATAGGCAAATACACACCAAAAGAAAACCTTCAGGCAGGAAGCTTTCCTCTCACCCTCTGATATCTCTTTACTATGAGTTCATGCCAGATGATGAAGCCCTATTCTCAACTTAATGGTTTACAATATAAACTTCATTCTCCAGCTCTCAGCTCAAGATCTCGGTGGATGATTCCCTGACTATTCATAGAAACAGTCAAGAGATCTTTGATGAATCTTCTCCAGCTCATTTTATGAAAATAAGATAAACGAATCTATCCCAATTCTGTTTATGTTCTTTAAAATGATTTTATGACAAAGAAGGGAGGGAGACATTTCAAGAGATTAAAAAAAAATGTTTTTGGAAGAAAAGATCAACTACAAGACATTTAATTAAACTCACTGTAGATAGCATCACCCATCCACTTTTAAGGAAATTAAATATGTGAAATGAGAGATGAAAGATAAGTGGCACAATAAGGAACTAAGAAAACAAACTATGTCACAGCAGTATTAAAGCCAATGCTAGAAGTTATAAAGAACAAAATCCACACTGAAGTCAAGTCACTTATTTAGAACAGGTTTCAGTGTATGTAGTAAATATGTAAGAGAATAAAACTCATCTGACAAAACATAATAGATGTGAAAAACCTAACAGAAATCTGATACAGATCATGGTAGTGCATGAGGAACAGGACAAATGGAGCTGTAGCAATATTGAGATATTCCATAAGGAATTTTTTTTAATCAAATAAATACTTGCATCTTTAGGCTGCAAGGGCTAAATAGATGCAAGGTAAAATTAAAGTAACTATAAAATATCAGATATACTCAAAAAGACCAGAAATATCACGTGTTGGTGAGGATGCAGAGAAAAGGGAACCCTTGTATGTAGATGGTGTGGATGCAGACTGGTCCAGTCCCTGTGGAAAACAGTATGAATTTTTCTCAAAATATTACAAGTAGGTCTACCTTAGGATCCAGCAATTCCACTCCTGGGTATCTACCCAAAGAATGCAAAAGCACTTATTCAAAGGGATATATGAACTGCTCTGTTCACTGCAGTACTATGTGTAACAGCCAAGCTATGGAAACAACTTAATTACACAAAGTCAGAAGAGTGGCGCATACACACAGTGGACTACTGCTCAGCTCTAGAAAGATGAACTCTTGCCATTTGTGACAATGTGGATGGAAGTAGAGGTTATAATGCTAAAGAAACTAATCAGAAGGTAAAACACAAGCACTACATGGTGTCACTTCTATGTGGAATATGGAGAAATAAAACAAATAAAACCAGATCAGTTGAGGATGGTTGGTAGAAATGCAACACTAGAATGGAGGCTACCAGAGAGAGAAAGGGAGCTGGAGGGAGAAAACTGGTGTGTCTTGGTGGTGGTGTGATGTGGTGACATACATCTGATGGAGGTGATCCTATACCTCTGAATCACACAGTGTTATAAATTTTTTTTAAGATTTATTTATTTATGCAAGATCCGGGGTACAGACCAGATGTCTGGGAGGGTGAGAGGATTCCCCAGAGACAGAGCCAGAAACAGAACAGGCAGACTGACGAAATGCACTGCTGAGGGGAGCAGCATGCCACGACAGGAGAGGTCTGCCACGCTGTGTGGGACTCTCGCCGGCTGGCTGGGATCAAACCCACGCTGCAGAGGCTATGGACAGCTTCACAGTGCAGCGCTCAACCATTGCACTACCAGGGAGGCCTGAATCACACAGTGTGCTAAATCAGTGTTACCTCAATAAAAAACAGGGCCCTCCCTGGTGGCACAAGGGGTTAAGTCTCAGCATGACGATGAAGTTATCAGCAGCCACTGCAGCATGACTTCAATCCCCAGCCAGAGAGCAACCAACATGGTGCAGCAGACCCCCTCCTGTCTTGCCTGTTCTGCTCCCCACTTTCTCTCTGCTGAATCCTCTCACCTTCCCCGCTGCACCTCTGGCCTACACCCCAGCTCTTGTATGCATAATAAAATAATTCAAAAAAGGCAATAGAGTCTGAGCTCTTAACTACTACACTATATTAAAATAAAAAAAAATTTCAGAATTATATTACAAATGGGAAGATACCATATAACGTTTGCCAGCTAACATAAGCAACACACTGATATCTACAGCTCTCAAGTTGGGAAAGTCATGGTATAAATTAATTGGAAGAATGGAAACCTTTTACATAATCAGAATGGGCTGTGGTAAACAGAGTAACAGAAACTGAGAAATTATAGAATTTATTTACTGAAGCTATGTAAAAAAGGGGACTGATGACAAAAAGAGATGGAAATCCTAGGTAATTCCAACAAAAGTGCCAAAGTTTGATCATTTCTAGACTTAAAAAGGAAAGACTCACTATTTTATTCTTGGCATTGCTGACTCGAAAAATATAAGTTTGAGATGTTTTAAAAATAAAAGTTACGAAGAATATTTAAAAACAATTTATAAAAGGCCAGTGACAAAATATAAATAAAACCATTGTCACTGGGTTGATGTCTATAATATAAAAATATAACTGAAAGATGGGCGAGATTCATGAAGAGGCAAATTATTAGAGAGCAAATGCAAATTAAAAATACATATATTAAAAAGTATTCTATCAAAAAAAAAAAAAAAGTATTCTATCACTTCTGATGAAAATCTATGGAAGGTGTTTTATGTGACATTGATGGAGATGATTGTTACCCTGTAAACTGTGGAAAACCATCGGAGGATATAATCAAGGAAATGGTATGCTCAGAGTAGAGAATAAATAGTAGAGAGGTACTGAAGTTAAAAAAAAAAAACTAAATAAAACATAATAAATCAATTTGCGAGGCTGTTTAACAATTCATCCGATAAAGATGGCATGGACTAGATTATCAGAGTAGCCATGTGGTGTATTTTGGCAAAGTCTGCTTTAGTCTGGTGCTCATTCTGGTCAGAGGAGCTGTCTTGGCCCACTTGGGCTGCTATAACAAGTACCATAGACTGGGTGGTTTATAAACACGAGGAATTTATTTCTCAGAGTACTGGAAACTGGGAAGTCTAAGATCAAGGCATAGCCAACTTAGTGTCTAGTAAGAGGCCACATCCTAGTTCTAAATGGCCATTTTCTCCCTGTGTCCTCACATGAGGGGACACATGAGGAAACCCTATATACTCTCTCTTACAAGGGCATTAATTCCATTCACAAGGGCTCCAACCTTAGGACCTAATCATTTCCCAAAGGCCCCACCTTTAAATACCATCACGTTGTAGACTTGGTTTCAACATAAGAATTTTGCAGACAGTCTTTCAGCCCGCTACCTATATAGCATGAGTTACTTAACTACACCAATGACTTATAGTGGAGAAGCTCTGTTGGACAACTGTTACTAAGAAAATGTCTTCCACTCTCAGTCAAAAACATGCTGACCGGGCCTCCCTGGTGGCACAAGCAGTTAAGAGGCAACCTATGAAGCTGTCCACAGCCACTGCAGCAGGAGTTCAACCCCCAGCCAGGGAGGTGACCCACATGGCACAGCAGACCTCTCCTGTCTCACCTGCTGCTCCCCTCAGCAGTGTATTTCAGTAGATCTATCTGTTCTACTCCCCACTCTGTCTCTGGTGAATCCTCTCACCCACCCCACACCTCTGGCCTATACCCCAATTCTTGTATGCATAAATAAATAAATTTTTTAAAAAAACATGCTGACCTTTCCTCTATGCCATTTTCCTGTCCTCTCTTATTTCTATCGAAGGTACCTAATGGGTAAGGACGCAGTGCCTTTCCTTCCAGGGGTCCTCCTGGATCAGGCACTGACCTCTTTTGTCCTTTCCCTTCCTTTTCCCCCTGCTTTTTCCTACTCTGAGGCAGAATGCTTCCATTCAGATTTTCATAGGTAAGCACATGCAAATAATACATGTGTGTGCATTATCAAATTTAATTGACACTTCATAAAGACAAGGACACTTTATCTGGCAAGGGAACAATAATTTAAAAATGAATATAAAGATGGATGAGCTTTGATAGAAAATGGAATATTTCCAAGTAGTCTAAGGGGAATTAACAGTTTTGTTCAGAGAGTTTAGAGCAACCACTGTAGCCACTCATGGCTATTTTGATAACTTTGAAAGCTAATTTTGTGACTATAGCCAGGTAGAGAAAATGTTTTTCTGAGAAAATAATTTTTCCACCTAAACCTAGGCATTGTTTTTTCTTAGGTTTATGTGATCTAATCAATTAAACCAAAGGGAATTCCCTCTTGCCAACAAGAAGAAAGGGAAGGTAATGGTAAGAATAATTTACAGCATTATAGTTTTGTGCTTCATAAAAGGGGCTTCTCACCCACCTGCAGTACCCAGGAAGCAGGTAGCGTGCTAGCACTCCCTGGTGAACAGAATTATCACCTGAAAGAGAGTGGTAAACAGTAATGACAGTTGCAAAAATCTAGAAATGTCCTAAGTGTGTATTATTGCAGATGGAACCATATTTAATTCCCATAGCAACAGCAAAGAAAATTTACATGAACAGGGAAATTCTGAGGAAAATCAGTGACCTGCAGAAGCATATGCATTAATTACCTTTAAGGTGACTGTTTTGCAGATTGTTAAGATTACAGGGAAAAGTCTGAGCTGAATTTAGGGAGCGGGGATGGAGTTGAAAATCCTGGGTTTGAAACCCAATCCATATAATAACTAGATGGAACTAGACAGGTGATTTCTCTTCTGTGATGTAATTACAGTTCCCCTGTAAAAGACAACTGACTGAATTATCACAAATTAATTTTTTGGTTATATAGTAGGTGCTTAACACAAGTTACTTCTCCCTTGCAATAATGATTCCCTTAATAGGATTTTCATACTAGGATACCCTTATAGATAGATGTATTTCATGGATTTAAAAGTTTATACAGATTGCCCTTGTCATACATAGCACATGTGGCAGAAAATATTACAATGTAAAATGTTGCACACATTAGTGTCATAGCAACAGCAAAACAATCCCATGGTTTCTTGCCAAGACAAATATGATTATACATTACTGTGCTCTCTGCAGTAAATTCCTTTGAGGTTTCAGAATGCTGTGTATGAATAACCATGGCAATCTATTTAAAATTCTGTTGCTTTTCTATAATGCAAATCTTTGTTTTACAGAGCTGCTGAACTATAATATAAATGTTATACAGGACCTTGTCAAAACAACTTTATTAGTGATCCGATATTGGAATAGTTAGTGAAACTAAATGTATTCATATTTTTTTTTTTTTTTTTTTTTTTTTTGTGGGACCCTCGCCGGTGGCCGGGGAACAAACCGGTGCTGCAGAGGCTGCAGGCAGCCTCGCAGCCCAGCGCTCAACCGCTGTGCCACCAGGGGAGGCCCTAAATGTATTCATATTTTAGGCATTCTCTTCGATCTAAACTTTGAGCACTTTTGAAAAATATTTTAAGCAAAACAATGTTTATATGCTATACTCTTTCCTCATCAGTTAAATTTAATTTTGCTTAAAAAAAGTCAATTGAAAATGCAAGCTAAAAAATTCCAACATCACCCTTTTAAGGTTAGAAAAACTAGCACATTTCATTATTACTATGCTATATGTCACTTTTCCTATTTATGCTCTAGTATTTATGCCTCAGTATTTATTTCTCCACATTATTTATAAATCATAATATACTACACAAAGAATAAAAGATTTTTTTATTTATCTAAAAGATCTTTTATAAAAGCATCTTTCAGTAAATTACTTTGGAGTATAAACATCTGTTCTCCTATCATCTGTATGGATAACTTTGGAGCTGATGACTGCATCTTTAAATTGTGACTCCTGCAATCATTAGTTAAGAAGCAAATAAAACTCTGATGATTTAAAAAAAATCATTCCTAATGCACATTATTATAGATGAGAAACTGCTTATACCAATTCATACCCCACTTTTCTTACATTTGTGTCCACAGGAGGTACTTTAATCAGGAGTACCATAATACTATGAAGATTTTTTTTGGTAAAGAAAATGCGAACTTTTATTCAATTAAAACTAGAAAAATGAACAGTGATCTCACTCACTGTTTTATGAACAACCATTTTGTATTGTTTGTTATTTCCATTAAAAAAGTAACCGGTGGGGCCCCCCTGGTGGCTCAGGGGGTTAAGACATAGCATTATGAAGCGATCCCCAGCCTGGGAGCTAACTCACATGGCACAGCAGACCTCTCCTAACTCGCCCACTACTCCCCTCAGCAGTGTATTTCAGTCAGTCTGCCTGTTTTGCTAAACACTCTGTCTCTGGTGAATCCTCTCACACCCTCTACCCCTGCACCTCTGGCCTGTACTCCAGTTCCTGTATGCATAAATAAATAAATCTTTAAAAAAAAAAACAACAAACAACCACCTCCCTGGTGGTGCAGGCAGTTGAGCACAGCGCTGTGAAGCTGTCCGCGGCCTCTGCAATGCTGGTTTGATGCCCGCTGGCCTCGGAACAACCCACATGGCGCAGCAGACCTCTTGTCTCGCCTGCTGCTCCCCTCAGCATTGTATTTTGTCAGTCTGCCTGTTCTGTTCCCCGCTCTGTCTCTGGTGAATCCTCTCACCCTCCCACGCATCTGGCCTGTACCCCAGTTCTTGTATAAATAAAATAAATCTTTAAAAAATAAAAATTAAAAAAAAATTAAAAAAAGCAACCGGCCATCCATATGTATTATTTTAAAATTTGAAAATCTGGATAAACAAAACAAAAATGAATAGGAAGTATCCATATTCTACTACAGTAGTCACAGAAAATGCTTTCTTAAAGTAGCTTTCCAGACCCATGAATGTATCTGTGGGGTTTGTATACAGAACAGGACTGCCCTGGGTGATCTTTTTGGTACCCTGCTCTAGCACACATAAAAGTATTTCATAGGCAATGGTTACAGATCAATAATCACACCAAGCGTAATAGTTAATCTTCAATGAGAGCTTAAAAAGCGTCTGGAATTATGCAAAGAATTTCACACATAAAATATCATGTTGCTTTTTATAGAACTCATTTGAGTGTGTCTTATTTCTGTTTTCCAGTAACTTGCCCAAGGTCACACAATTTGTGTGAAACAAGAATATGGAACCATATTTCCCATTTCCTCTCATGTTCTGAATTTATCACTTCAAAGTTCAAATTCCTAAGCAGTGTATTATACAAAATGACACAATTACACTGAAAAAGTTCTAATTCATTTACATAAATCACTACCTGGCTAGAGAATTGTTTGTACTTCCACTATTCCACAACTGTAAAAATACACCACAATAAAAAGTCTAAAATGTCTGTCAGTTCAATTAGTTATTTGCAATATTAAATCGTTAAGTGGAAATACTGAAAATGTTTCAAGACTTTTGCGTTGATTTATACCTTTATGTCCGCACCCAATAATGGAGAATATTCTCAATCATCTTCACCATAGTCATCTTCTAGGTCAAAAATAAACAAAGTAAATTATTTTGGTTTGTATGTTTTTAGTATCTTCTCACATTTTATATCTTTCTTTTGCAACTGATTAGACTTTAATAACTGACAAAGACTAGACATCACTTGTCTTTTAGGCTTAATTCATATATAACTAATGGTTCTAATTTTTTTAATTGGAGTTTGTGAGGGCATTAATATATAACTTGTAAAATTAACTTGTAAAATTCCCCTTTCTTACCATACAATTTTATGAATTTTGACAAGGGCATATCACCATAATCACGTTCATTATCACCTTAAAATATTTCCCCTTTTCCCCTTCTTCATTCCCAACTCCTGGCAACTACTGATCTGTTATCTCTTCCTATAGTTTCACCTTTTTTTTTTTTTAATTCCTATCATATGATGTCATATAAATGGACTCAGATGTAGCCTTTATGTCTGGCTTCTTTCACTTACCATAATGCATTTGAAATTCATTCATGTTATTACCTGCATCTATTTTTGGTTTTGTTTTTTTTTTTTTCCCCTTTTCACTGCAGGATAGAATGCACAGATTTTCTTGTTGTTATCCATGAACCAATTGAAGGACATCTGGGCTATCTGCAGTTTTTCACAATAACGAATAAAACTGGTATAAAAGTCTATGAACAGGTTTTTGTGTGAATTTTTTTATATATGTATCTTAAATACTGAGGGATAGAACTGCTGGGGCTATGGTAACTATATTTGCCTTTATGAAAATTTTTCCAAAGTGTCTGTGTCATAGTTAACAGCCCTTATGGTTTTGATTGATTCTGAACTGAATGTTGATATGGCTCAGTCACATTTTTACTGACTAGTATTTTTGAAACTAGGCAAGTTTTTCTAATGAGGAGTTTTAATCAGCTTCTCTTTATACAAGTTACTGTTGCATTTGATCCAGTGTCTACATTCTCTAATTCTTCTCTGCTAGTGGCATGAAACAGCTTGTTTAGTAAATATAAAGCATTTTTTAAAGCAAGAGAAATTAAACCATTTAGTTATATATTTAAAAATGAATGTAAAACAAAACATCGGTACAATTTGTGGATGTTACCCTCCCTATTGGTTTGTTATATGCAGTGAAATTTTATCTGTAATCAGATTTGGAATAAACGAAATATGCAATAAAACAAATACCAAATAAGTAACACTATGGCACATTTTCAGGACTCATGAGCTTTTATAATCTAGCGGGGAGATAGATCATTATATAAGAAAATATGGAGCAGGCATACATGACTACTAGAGACCACAAAAGGGGACCTATCCAAACTTAACAGCGCTGGAAACATCTCTAATAAGGGGAGACTGCAGAACTGTTACCAAAGTAATTACCCAAGTAATTTGTTCAGAGGAACAAGATTGTACACAGATTTGTTTGGTAGATGAGGTAAGAGACTTGAGGATTTCATTCAACAGTATTAGGTGGGGTCCAGAATAAGTGGGAAAAACAATAGAATTGAAAAGGAGCAAGATGAAGTGAAATACACAAATCGAGTCTGGAAATTTCCAAACTGGCCAAAGAAATTTCATAGTGTGAGGGAGCCAGAATAGGAGGTAAATTGGGATTTGGTATTTCTGGCATGGTTAATGGTTGAGAGAATAGTTGTAACTACAGGCTAAAAGAGTGGTGAACAGGAGGTCACTGGAGTTAGAAAGCTTATGAAACTTCTCAGAGTAGACAGATACCCAAATCCACCAAAGTCAAAGGGAAGCAACAAATTTTTGCTACAGATCTTCTCAACACCTTTATGGAATCAACTATGAAGCTTAGGCAAGGAATACGATGAGTGCTTCTTCCCAAACATATTTGAAAACAACTTTGTTTTTAAGACACACTCAGGATTCCTAATTTTTTTTTAAGGCAACGCTCTTTTTCCCAGAGAACCGATGGTATTCTAAAGAAAATATTCATTTTACATATCTGATAACGCTTTCTTTACTAACCAGTTACTTTTCTACAACTTCAGGCGGCTCTCAGACTAGTGTAAAAGGGAATCCATCACTTGCAGCACTTACAAAACCGGCATATTTCCAGCTGCATGCCAGAGACTCTGATCCAGTAGACCTGGGCTTGGGACTGGTGATCTGAACTGTTACAGGCTCCTCAGGTGATCTGGATACCCCGGGTGCAGCTGGTACAGTGCTTTCTGATACAGTGTTTTTCAAAATTGGCTGCACATTAAAATCACCTGGAGAGCTTTTGGAACTCCCTTGACCAAGCCACCTCAAAACAATTAAACCCAAACCTGTGGGGTTGAATCCGGATGTTTTTAAAGCCCCCAGGTGATTCCAATTTGCAGCCAAGACCAAGAATCAGTGCTCCTAAAGCACCAGCGTGGAAAGCCTTCAGCTTCTTTGGCTCCCTAGGACTTGGAAATACTTCATAAGATCTGTAGCTTATGCTCCAATAAATGCTGAGCCTGCCTCTGATTTAATTAGCTTATTAGGAAAAAGCTGCCTAGAGATTTCTCTTTTCTCTAGGAGGTTAACAACTCCACCAGAGAGTAGCTCTTAGTACCTTTCTCCAAAGAGTACAAAAAGGAATCTCCTGGATGGAAACACAACTCTGTGTTAATATAAAACTGAGCTACAACAGAACCGCCATAGCAAAGAAAAGGTTGCGAAAAGTCACTTTTCCCAAGAAAAATTTTAGCTTTTGTCTCCCTATCTCCAACTTCTTAAAACAAGAAATTGCTTCACATAAATTTTACAATCTGTTTTGTGGCCACAAATGTGGAATTCTGATAATTTCTCATTACTACAATACTTATCTGTTCTAGGACATCCCCAAAAGGAAATGGAATGGCCTGGGGGTGACTCCTCACCAATGCACTTAAAAAAGACCCAAGGGCAGGCACAGAGAGAATGGTTAATAAAGGGTTTATTTACAGGGGGATAAAAAGAGAGGCAAGGGAGAGAGAGATTAATTACTCAATACATCCTACCTGCAATGCTGCCCCATGACCCTGGCACTCCCTGCCGGTAGGCAAAAACCCAAGACTCCCAGGTGCACCAGTGTGGTGTTTTATATCAAGAGTGGCTGCTTAACTCCACCCTTAGTTCCCAGCAATCCCCCCCTTCAAGAAGTCAAGGGTCATGGTGGTTTCACAGCATGATGGGAGTTGTAGTCTTCAGAGCCTGGACTTGCTACTAGGAGGGGGCGGAGTCCATTAAACATCAATGCGTGAAGTTCATTCAGGACAGACTGTTCCTCCCACAAAACCAACTTCACACCTACCAGGAGCAAATTGTAAATTGATAGTCTTAGAGCTCACACGCCTTGCCCCACTGATTTTCTTCCTCCTCTTTTTTGCCCATTTTGCCCCTTCAAAGGACACAATGAAGCAAGCAAGCAAATAAAATAAAGGGGGTCAATATTTGGTGTTGACATCTATCTACCCCTGATAAAATATAGACTGCATCTTACAGAATTAGTGACTTTGTCATAGGACTGTGCTGCCTAATCCTAAATTCTTAATGCTAAATGTTTGGGTTTTTTTTTTTCCCCCAGGATTAAAACTATAGTTTGTGTTTTAGGGGAAAGATACTGTGTATTCTGTCACAGAAGCAAGACCTTGCATTTTTGCACTTTGCAATCAAAGATGGATACTTCTATAACACAACACAATATAAATCACCTCATAGCAATTTAAGATTCGTTTCTGCCACCAAATGAGCTTGCACCAATCTTATAAGAAACATTTGGGTTTTAAAGTTTTCTATAATTGTGACATTTCAAACAATTATTTTTAAATTCTGAATTTTTTTCTTTTTTTCTTTTGTTTCTGTAACTTTTCTAAATTGTACAGGTATGTTTGAATAGAGACAAGGACCTTTGTGCATTTAATCATATTTAATCTTCATAAACATCTACTTAAATAGGTAATGTTATTTCCTTTTCACAGATGAGAAAGCTGGGATTTTGAAAAGATAAATTGCTTAAAAAATTCCCTCTCTCACGGAGCCCATCTCAACCGGTTGACAACACGCTTCCTCACTGTAACACATCTACTTACCATGCAGCTTCCTTACTAAGAGTGCTAAAGACAAATCACTGAACTGAAAATATTATATTCACTTATTTCCTTTTATATTTAGGTTAAAAACTGACTGCTGGTGCAACAGACCTCTTCTATCTTGCCCCTGCTTCTCTTAGCAGTGTATTTCAATAAATCTGCCTTTTCTGTTGTCAAGAAAAAAAAAACACACTAATAAACTCACATGAAAATGTTACCGAGCAGCCCCAATATACAACGGGTTGCCTGGCTGTGGGTCCTCACATTCTTTCCCCCCTAACAAAAACACAAAGACTGTTTATAATCATCTTGAAAGAAACTGAAACACTATTTAACCTCAGCATTTGATCTAACATTATGGCAACATACAGTTTTAAATAAAGCAGTACTACGTCCAAGTAATAAGTCAGCATTTAAATAAAAACTTAAATAATGTATAATACACATTTTGTAGGTGTCCCGAATCGAACCTATTGAGAATGATCAAGAAGAAAATTCACAGGAAAAGTCCTTTAAAGACTGTCTTGCAAGGCTCTTCAGCTGGATATTGGGAATAAGCCACCGTGAACACCTTCAATTAAGGCAATAAACGTATGTGCGCTTGAGCGCACTGGTGCTGGAGTTCGATTGCAAAGCTAAGGCCAATATAGAAAAATCTGTCCTTCTGTGTAGATCTCCATTAAAACCTAAAGGAATCTGGGCACCAGATCACTGTGGTGGTTATTCATTTTTCATATATATATATATTGAATTTTTCACCGATCTTTTTACTCATTAATTGTGATTTAATATTTCTCAAAGTCAAGTAGCCCTGAATAATAATGACATGTTAGTGTGTTTTCCTGCCTGCTGGGCTCTTTTTTGCATTTACCCATTTTTTACAATGGGAAATCACAAGTAGGAGATTTTGTCTTTGCCAAATTTTTATGTAATAAATAAATGATTTTTTTTAAATTATAGGGTATAATTTCTATAAATGGACGTATAAAAGAAAGAATAAAGTGGAGGACTTAAAACATTAAAAAAATATACTATAGATATCAGAATTTATCAAATTTGTGAATCCAAAACTGCTTTTAGATGCATGGGCTTATTCTGATGGGAACTCTGCACTCAAGGAACAGACTCAGTATTTTGCTTGCTGATTTGCTGTGATAAGGAATGCTTTCTAATGAATGTAACAGTGTGGTCTTCAACTCTTTGGTCTCAAGATGTCATCTCTATAAGCCTCAGTTGGTGTATTTGAAAGGGAACTGCCAAGAAAAGGAAATCTTTCCCTGTTACAGAGTCATAGACCTGGAAATGTAAAGTAAATAACAAGTTTGCTTCCTTAATAAGCATATCTAAACAAGGTCTGGCAGCCTGCTAGGCTGACTGATCTCCAAAGCCACCCTCCAAGATCTGTTTCCTCCCCTTTTCTTGTGTCAAGAATTTGTATGCTAACTAACCAACTTTATCAGTGTAAAGTGGTTATGTATACAAGAAACTCTAGACCTCGGCTCAGACCTTATGGGACTACCCAGGTCTGAGATCTCATGTATGAGTAATAAAGATTTCCTGACCTCACCATTCCTGAAATACTGCTTGTTCTTCCCCTGCCTGGGTAAAAGGCTAGAATTTATTTCTGCAACATATTACGGAAGGTGTCAGTAATTGCACTAAAAATTATATGACCCCTTTCCTTTTGGGATTCTCAGTCAAACGTTTGTGCATGAGTTTTTGGTTTGCCTAGTGTGTGTTTGCACTATCATCTAATCAGCTTTAATGTTGCATATTAAGAATTTAGCCAGATTGAAAATAGAAATCCCTCGTTGCCTCATTTGCCGCCAGAGAGTTCACTCCTCAGGCAGATGATCTGAAAACATTAAATGCAATTTTGGTTTTTGGTGCTACTAAGAAAAATGCTGATGGGGAAGTATGCAATAACATCACTTTCTGCATAGGAATTTGCCATCTGTACATTTCAAAGTATGCATGTACGGTCTTTGCTAATGTAATTTTTATGACATAGAATGATAGGAACATAAATGATAAGGATCTTAAGTAATTGACTTGTCCTTTTTCTAGATTCCTTCGGGAAAACCTCCTCTGTGCCAAAAGAGAATTAACCCTGTTTTTTAAAGCCTACTGAGATAAATAATCCATCTCCTTCAATCTGTGGTGTGGGTTCATTGGCTCTTAGACATCGAAGTTAATAAACAGATGGCCCTGTGCTGCAGAGTACTCCTCTTATGTACTTAGACCTATTATTAAATTCCCCTTGTATTTCCTCTTCCCAATGCCCAGTCACTTCACAGTTATGTTTTCATCTGTTTCTCTCGCTGCTAACAAGCACCTTTAAATGATAGACCCTCAGGAGGAGGTCAATAGGAAAAAAATCATCTCAGAGGTTAAAACTTAAGCTTGCTGTGTAACTGAACATGTGCTAACGGTGGGGGGGGGGGGGCGGATGGTGTTTCCACAGAACCCTGGGAGCTGAAAATGTCATCAGTCTAGAAATAAACCGTTACTGAGCCTCCCTGGTGGCCTAGCAGCACTATCACTGCTAGGGCCTGACTTTGATCCTTGGCCAGGAAGGTAACCCACATGGCGCAGCAGACCTCTCCTCTCTCACCGGCTGCTCTTCTCAACAGTGTATTTCAGTACATACCTGTTCTGCTCTGTTCTGCTCCCCATTCTGTCTCTGGTGAATCCTTTCACACCCCTTCCTCACACACCTCTGACCTGCACCCTAGTTCTTCTATGCTAAAATATTTTTTTAAAATAGAAATAACTGTTACCTGTGTAGTTTTACTTGGCAATGACAGCATAAGGAAAAGGGTAATATCGTTTAGGATTTACGGACGGCGAAAGGAAGATCTTATTGCCACCATGATGTGGTTTTTATTTTTATTTTTTATTTTTTATTTTTTTATTATTTATGTATACAAGAGCTGGGGTACAGGCCAGAGATGCAGGGGGTGAGAGGATTCACCAGAGACAGAGTGGGGAACAGAACAGGCAGATTGACTGAAGTACACTGCTGAGGGGAGCAGCGGGCAAGTCAGGAGAGGTCTGCTGCACCATGATGTGGTTTTTAAATTGCAAGAATGAATCCTGTATTTCTTAGATTTCAATGGCACAGAGTTACACATTCAATGCCTTGTCAAAGGTAATCTAATATCACTATTTGGGAGAGTCCTGACTTAAGTATACTGTCCCTATGATTAACATCCACTTTCCTCCTCAGTATGTCCAGGGTTAGAGGACCATTTATATAATCTCCCTGCATCTGTGGCAGATTCTTTATCACTCTCTCCAGATTTTACTTGTCACTTGGTTTCTTCTTTACTTCAATCCTCCCTGCAACGATCATCCATGATCTGGTTCTGATCACTTTTTGCTCTATTAAGATCTGCTAATATTTCAGGCCTAGCTTCCAAGGTCATGGCTGTCCCCTCCACCTGGGATCAACTTCAGCAGATTGAATGAGCCCTTTGGACACTTCATTATCTACAGCAAGAAAACACTGCTATCTAGGCCAGGGACCTTTGCAACACCTTGCATTTTTCTCATCTCCCTTCCTTTCAACTGTCACTTCTTCATCCTTTCCGTACCCACCAGTTAGCACTGATTGATTAATCTTCAATTTATATTTTTTAAGATTTATTCATTAAAAAAAATTTATTTATTTATGCTTACAAGAACCGGGGTGTAGACCAGAGTTGCTGGGGTGAGAGGACTCAACAGAGAGAGTGGGGAGCAAAACAGGCAGATCTACTGAAATACACTGTTGAGAGGAGCAGCGGGTGTGTCAGAAGAGATGCTGGTGATACCTTGATAGCACTCTTAACCCCTGTGCCACCAGGGAAGCCCCTAATCTTCAATTTATATTTTACCATTTTTCCAGCAATTACAATGTGCTAGGTCCTGTTTAGTGGGTTGGCACTCCTGTCAATTTTGTAGCAAGAGCCTGTGTATCAGATTGTATTATCTCAATTCATAGATTTTTAAGTCCCCACAGGGTCACTGGAAATAAAACTGTGATGCATGATTTTCACAGTTTTTATGCAATCGTAGTCCATTAAATAACTCTGATAAATGGTTTTGTTCTAAAGTTATCCTTGTGCTTTTGTAGGGAAAGCTTAGAGAGGAGCTGCTGAATCTCCAAAATCTCATCATGCATTTTTTAATAGGAAATTAGTTGCTAAGGTCTTGTGAGTAGTAAAAAGTCAACATACACTGCTCATTGCTCATCCACTACTCATATTTTTTTTTCTCTAGGTTTAAGTGGGTCAAACCTAGAAATAATACTTTAATCACTAGTGTTATCCTTCTAGTTGTGGTTTAATATGCTTAATTTCAGTGAAATTTTTTCTTCACACACATCTTAAGTATATTTTAACTAGTGCAAACCCATTAGCTTGAAAGTTACATATACATGGAAGAAATAGGGTGGCAATCATTATATGAAATTCTATTTATGATGTCTTTGACTTAAAAAGAGAACACAAAAACCACAATGAAAAACAGTCAAAAGTGATAATGTGCTCGTAAGATCCCTTTATAATCCTGCTCTTAATGGTGGGCTGTTACGTCTTTAGATCTTGACATATCCCTATATGTGGTGTGATTAATTATGCCTTATCAATTTTCCAGTGCACTATTTCAGCAGCCATGACAGGGCCTGTTGCTTGTCTGAATCCATTTAAATATTAGCAATTATGCAGGGTTTCTTGGTACACAATCCTGTTGCTTAAAAAAAAATAAAGAGTGTGAAGAATTTTCTGGTTGAGGTAAACAATAGAAATTGCAGCCTGGTGCTTGGATTCATGCATCAAAAATGAAGTGTTTAAGTAGATCTTTGTCAGTTAGCAAATGCTGTTTTAGTCTGAGCATTTTGCCACCTCATTCTATGCCATCTGTCTCACAGGGAGTAATTAATCTGAAACTCCAGCGCAGCATTAAAATTCCATTAACACTGAACAGAATATTAACGTGTCTGGTATTGCCATTTTTATCTTTGCAAATTTCCTCTTAATTTTAAATAAAGTAGGTATAACATTTTAATCTATTTGGTTAATTAGGAATATTGAATAAAATATATAATTAGCAGCTAAGTTTAGGTAATAATACACTGAACTTAGTTTAATAATGCTGTATCTTTCTGCAATGTGAACATATATTGGGCAGTTTTAAACTAGGCTCGTGGTTATTCAGAAAAGCTCTAAGTGTCTTAAAAGCCAATTCCCCCCAAGACACTGACTCTGTCACTCCTTTTCCTTTTACAGAACCACATCACTGCCTTCGCAGAAGTCACATGATATTGAGGCAGACGGCTTTGCACTGCACTGGACATCATCCCTCTTCACCATCCATCCATAACACCCAAAGTTTATTTGATTACAAGACTTTATAAAGTTGTCTAATAATTTTATAATTTTTCAAATCAGTGTTAATCTATCTGTTTCCCCCACTAGACTGTGAGCTCCTCAAGGGCAGGACTGTGTCTTTTTCTTCTCTGACTCCCCAGCACCTACAGCAAAGACTCGCACAAAGTAGGTGTTCAATAAAAACATGTTGACAGGCTGGACAAATTCTTAAATCAAATGTTCACTTTTGTTTCTCACAGAATCACTGCAATGATGTGAAAAACACAAGTCCTATTTGTAGAGGAATCCCTCCATTTTGGGCTAGTTAAGCTTTTTAATTTTTCTTATATCTGTTTAGCAGTAAACCATATTTCATTTGAAGTGGACTTGGAAAGTCATGGGGGTTTTTATTTTATTATTCAGCATGACATCATTCCCATTCTAACAGATTTCAGTGTGTGAAATTACTTTACTTTTAGAAAGTATGTTCTATACTAAAATACTGTTTGCACATAATATTAAGCTATATTTCACTTAAATACCATTCATACTATATATTCTAAGACTGGTGCTTCTGCTTTTGAAGGGGAATATGCCAATTTTTACTGTAATAAGTAATGTATCATAATTAAATATTATTTATTTGAACTTCTGTTCCTGACAATTGTGGTTTAATTATTGACTTACAGTTTTGAATGCAGGCAGTGCTTAGGATAGGTAAGTGACTAAGTCCAGCAGTGGTATCTATTTATTGAGTAATTTTTCATTGATAATATTGTCCTCAAGAGTGGTCAGAGGCCCCATTCTTAGGCTATTTACCAGTCACAATTTCACATAAAGTGGAAAGAACCCCACCCTGATACATAATTTACAGAAATTACATCAACAAATATGGTTGATATATTTTACTTTGCATATGTAAAGTACTTTATATTTTTCCTACATAATTCATCTGATCCTTACAATATGCCCAGGTAAATGTTAGGAATATGACTTTAGTTTTACAGATGAAGAAAATTAAGACAAAACAGGGTAAATAACACGCTTGGTTCCACAGTTATAAGAAACAGTGAAAACTAAAATTCAGATTTTCTAATACCAAAATAGTATTCCTTTTTAAAATCATTTTGGACACACTGAGGCCTTTCAGAGGTCAGTAGCATTGTGGGCATCTCCTATGTTTTCAAAAATGAGGAAATAGCAAAATAGAGCTTAGAAAGCAAAAGTGTATTGTAAATATTTTTTTTTAATGAACACTTTTCAAATATAGAATTATATAGTAACATGTTTTGAAAGAGTAATGTCAGGATTGTACAGGTGAGATCTATTATGAAATCAAAACCTAAATCAGATGTGTCTTGCCACCCTCCCCCACCTGCACTAACCCCTACCTCTCTCAGCGGCGTGAGGGCCAACCTTTACAGTGACCCCATGGAATTAAGAATGAAAATCCTGATAATATAAGGAAATGAACTAGAACATGAGAAAAGCATTCAATGTACTCAACAGTATCTTTACAATCTTTAAAGCTATCCTGAGTATCTGACTTATATGAGCAGTAGTTACTTGACTAAAATGAATCTTCCTACCTTGTCAGTACTAAAGAAAATTAACTTTCAACTTTTTATTTAACTTTCAAATCTGCAACTAAATATAACCAAAGACTTGCCCATTATTCCCTAGATATAACTTGCTCAATTCCATCACTGCAGGAGGTAAAGGACTTCCAATAGGGTCAAAGCAAAAAACAAAACAAAACACGCTTCTATAAAAATTAAATTCTGTCGGAAATTTCAAACGTACAAACTTGGAATGTCTTGACCCTCTTGAAAGACTTTTTAGGGCAGGAACGGTAAAGAATTCTTTTATTGGGTGTGTAAGTAAGAGATGATCACATTGTTTTAGAAGATATGACTTCCAAAGCTAGCCAGTTCTGTTAAGTTTTAGCAGTGGCCTCCAAGGAGCCAATTAGAATTGTTTTTCCACTGGAAGTCTTAGGTATATATACGTATGTAAATGTCTTATCTACACACCTGTCTAACCCTGGTCTAAATGCAGAAGCTGTTGTTCCTAAAAACCCAAGTTTAATCCAGGATCAAAGTAAGGCCATCTCTACTATTTAAATGTCATGGGCCTAAGACTGTGTAATGACTGATCCTGCCATTAAGGACAGATGCCTAAGGCAAAAGTCAGCCAGGAGTCCTTAACCACGAAGCTGTTACCAAGAATAATGAAAACCAGGCTTAAGAAAATATTAACTTGTGTAAATATGTATATACATAGTCTAGCAAAAGCAGGCAAACATATATCTTTCTGATAAAGGCATCTTTTTATTCTACTTACTTGGGGCCCAGGTCAGTATAAATTGGTCAGCCTGAAAATTTCAGTAGTCTCTGTTTGCATGGCAGAAATTCTGCACATGTTTTATCTGATTCCTAAGATTATTTAAAAGGCTCTTTTATGTTAAAAGAGAGGAGAACCTTCTTTGACAAACTTTTGTCTATCCCACTCCTAACTGGGCCTCTCTTTCCTCAGGATCTATCCTAGCCAAATAGCTCACTTACATTTACCATACAGTTTCCTTTGTGAAAGTGCAGTAGGGGAGGAAGAAATTCTCTGCTGTGTATTGTATTTTTCAAATAAAATTTTAAAATTAAATTTAAAAATTAAGTTTGGTTTTTTCCTCATGAATGTATGAATCATTTCTCAAGTGTAGAGAATAAAAAAATGCTTATTAATGTGATGGAAATAAGAGTGACTGGAAAAGGTGGGGGGGGGAATCACAAAGGTTCAGAGCTAACCAGTTCTTTGGGCAGCAAAGTTAACCTCTACATCCCTGGGGCCATCCGGGATCTTATCAACCCCATTATTTGTAAATCACAACCTCCTGGAAACTCTCAGGGACACAAAACAGATATACATCTACATAACCTGCCTCTTATTTATGAGGAAGGTGCTAAAGAATAGATGTAAATGCTCATATTCCTGCCTCTAGGGCACTATTTATTAAACTTTGATGGCTTGCTTTAAATAGTTGGACATACACCAAATGGTTTTATTTACACCTCGCAAACATCAATCTTCTCACAGTTTCCAGGTCTGGGCTTTCTAATAAATTTTGTGAATTATGAGTCTTTAAAAATATCAATTAAGGAAATTTATTCCAGATTTCAAGTGAAAGAGTCTTTTCTCAAAAGAGCATTCAAATTCCTCGTTCCTGTTCCTTCTACTTTAGAGGATAGCTGGTTCTTAGCCTGATAAGCCTCAGGGGGACATGGTCAAAGTTTAATAAAATAAATACACTCTCCTTACCCCCAAATTTTTTGGTCATGGGTGGCTTATAGAATCTTAATTGTAAATTCATACTGATAGTTTCAAATCTGCGACCTGGCTCCCTAGGACCTCCAGATAAGTAAATACAGATGAGAGGATACTGAGCCATCTCTACCTTTCAGATAGTTGACTTCTGAGACTTCTCATTCTTTTTGGGGGATGGGTAAGGGAAGAACACTTTTTAAGTTTGACTTTACCTGACCCATAGTTTCTCTATAGCCCACACATAAATGACATCACCTGGTATTTGTCTTTCTCCTCCTGATTTATTTCACTGAGAATAATCCCATCCAGCGCCATCCATGTTACTTCAAATGCTTCAAGTGGAAGGAATTTATCTTTTGTGGTCACTGAGTGGTATTCCATTGTGTATTCTTTGACAGGCGTCATTCTCTAGTCTATTTACCTAACTATTATTGCACTTACAAAGATTTTTCTATTTTCATTTTTCACTGAAATACAATCACTTTTAGAAAAGGAGGTAATTTTTTTCACTCCAACAGGAAAAAAAAGTATGTTTATATTGACATTAAAAAAAGAAATCCTTTATAAAATATTGAGACACTCTTAAGTTTTAATTAGGTTTCCCTAAAGGTATTGTTTCTGCTCAAGGAAACCATTCTTCATTCATTTTATATTTGCTATTTTGCAATTCAGTGACTAAATTAACAACAGACATGGTCCTTGCTGCTTTAAATTATACTGTTCAGCCCCCACGGTTGAAGGTTTAAAGTTAAGGTGGGAGAACTTACTTGGAGTTAACTAGTGAAGGACTAAGCCAAAGACAGTTTTCTAAATCACATACACAATTAAGGGTAATTTTTAAAATACATTGCCTCCATAAACAGCTCTTTGCAATTTGGTGATTATGATTTTAAGAAGCCCTAAAATGCTGTGGTAACAGGCACTTACTATCCCTCACTCTCTAGGTATCACTTAATAAAATTAAAACTTAAGTTTGGACTTTGCTCATCTAAACAATGCTAGAAGACACAAAGTAGATGGGGGGGGGGAGAGAGAGAGAGAGAGAGAGAGAGAGACTACTGAAGTTGCCATGGAAACCTGGCCCTCTTGACCAATAGGGGACTATGGAGAATTTCAAGGAAATGCAGAAAAAGGACAAACATCACCCAGCTTAGACTCTCCCAGTCTTGAAAAGCCAATCAAAACAGGTTACAAAAGAGAGCCCCAAATCCTAATTCACATGCTGACTTCTCCCTTCTTGCACCCTGCTTCACTTTTTAGCAGTATATTTCAATAAATCTACCTTTTCTGTTCGCCGTCGCTGGTGAATTCTTTCACCACCACACCTCCGGCCTCCCCCCAGTATTAGCTGACCACACTCACCAGTCTATGGATCAACAAAGCCTTTTTCTAATCCGAGCTGGGTTCATCCCTGATGGATAATCAGGTTAATCTTGGCTGGATATACTTCTTTATCTGGGGGTCACTTGATATAATAGTCTGATAGCCATAGAAAGGGGAGGTTTCAGGTTCCCCGCCCCATCCAAGGGAGGGTGGAGCTGACTAGCAACTGGAAGCTAGAAGAAAGCACTAAGAAGATGCAGAGAGAGATGGAGATCAAGAAGTAGAATTGGAGGAGGCACCTGGAGCAGAGAGACATGTGAAGAAGAAACTGTACTTGCTTGGACTTGTACCAGAGACTTGGGGAACATGGAAGGAGACACTTGAAAGAGACAGAGATGTGGGTGAGAGACCTGTGGGAAAGCTGACAATCACAGCCTTTATCTTGATCTTGACTTTGTTCTTTTCCTCCCAGACTTACCTGACCCTTTTCCTATGGGTCCCCACCAGACGGAACTGTTGTAGGGGCGTGGCAAGCTTTGGGCCTCAGTTGCCCTGCATGGGCCAACGTTGTTTGGCAGAGCATTTACCCACAAGGGGAAGGGTAACTTTGGGTGCTTGGTTTGGAAACTATATTCTTTCTCTTTATTGCACAAACTCAATTTGCATGATTATTTTTATGATCTCTGCTGCAAAAAGTGAAGATTATATATGCATGTATGTACATGTACATATATGTTTATACAGATACATCTACATATGTATACAGAGAGATGCTAATACTTATATGCAAACACAGAGAGACACAAACATATGTATATTTAATCCCTCATATATATTATAGTATGCGTGTATATATCACATGTAAACATACATATATGTATATATAAACTTTTAA